TTTGGAGGTTATGCACTTGATTTCGGGGTTCGGGCTTATGGCTTAGGGTATAGGGTTTAAGGAGTCCTAGCCCTCCGGGTGAGCACGGACGAAAGGCCACATGGCTAGTATAAAAGCCTGAGGAATGATGTGTACTGTTCCTTAGGGCACATTATAGCTGTGTAGACCCCTATACTAGTCACTAGTTGGATTGCAACCCCTTCGAACTTGTAACACCCTGCCAGGAACACATTTGCCGCTTCTGCAGTCCAGTGCTGCGCCAACTCAACGTCTCTGTCGGTTCACGTTCTTTCAAATCCGATAGGAGAGAGTCGCCAGTCTGCATTTGGCCACGGTCTGTCAGAAAGCCGCATGTCGGACTTCTGAATCATTGACTCGAAGTCCCGATGTACAAACAGCGCAAACTCGCCGCGTATGTGCTTGAAGAGGCACGACATCGCCTCTTCCGGCCATTGCCAGGCGGGTTGAAGCACCAACAGATGTGGTGGGACTTGTTGAAGTCGGCCTCTTGTGTAGCTTACCTGCACCCCTGCCTAAGACCCGTCTCGCCTGCCACAACCACTCGTTGAGGTTTCTTGGCCCCGTGCGGGTGAAAGTTAACTATATAGATGCAATCATCTATAGCCCCACTGAAGGTGGAGCTTGCTGTGCCGGCAGGCTCGTTCGGTGTACCATAACCGGGATGGCGTGGCGAATCAAGGTGTCAACAGTAGCAGTGGCTGCGAAGGTCAGCAAGATCAAACATCCGTAGAAGGATGATGTTGCAGGTTTATGCATTGGCAGTAAGTTCTGCAAAAATCGCTTTAGGCAGCACTCCTACTCCGTCGGGCTCCTCGGTTCCAGCCGTCATCAGGGGCACCCCGGGTCCGGCCCTCGAGGCCACGCGCTTTCTTGCCGCCGTGTCTCCGGAGCTCAGACTCTGCTTTAGAAAGTGCCAGGCCACGCCAAGGACGACACCGAGTCCTTCCCGAGTGCGCTTCGCGGCCACGAGGCCTCTGAGTCTCTCGGGTCGCCGGTTTAGACTTCAAGGCTGGCCAAGTCACATGCGTTGTAGGGGAAGTTCAGGGATGGACGTGTTTAGCTATTGAAAGGCTCGTTTCGAAGCCACGTGCACGCTTCGACCGCGACGAATCTCAGCAACAATTCGCCGGGGTACAATCAACGCCACGACATGGACAGCGCTTAAGGCATCGCCAACAGGATTAGCCTAGATTCTCCTAGATTCGGAACTGCCACTGCTGTACGGCTGTACGCGCCTGCCAGCTCATGCAGCAAGGCGGAAACAGAGAACCAAGTAATCCCCAAACTCTGCAACTCCAAAGCCCTACAGAACCGTGCAGGAGACCCAGGCCATGATCCCTGGACCTCACAGCCCCACAGCCCCACATCCTCTAATCGAAACTTTCTTGTTATGCTGTTATGCTGATTATACTTTTATTACTATATTGTCAGTACCGCTATTGCGCGACTGTCTCAACTTTTTATCTTTCTGCTGCAGCTAGCTACACTCTGCTTCTTATCTTCGCCGACAGAGTGGAGACAGAGAGGCCGGCCGAAGCTGAGAAGGGCCTTCGGAGTGACGAGCTCAGAGCTCGCCCTGAGCCCTTTTTGCCGTGGGTTTTGGGGAGTAGGGAAATGAAAGGACTGTAGTCGGCGACTATGGCATATGGTAGAATAGGAGGCAGAAGGGGTCTAAATAATATGCTAGAATCTGGTAAAGCATGGTCTACTATGGTATAATATGGGGTCTAGGCTACGGGATCACGGGTTCAGGGTCTACGATAGGGTTTAGGATTGGGCAGCTTGTCTGAGTGTTTCTGAGAAGACGGGTCTGCAGCAAGAGTCGAGGTGTTCGATTGATAGCGGAAGTTCTTATGGTTTTGTCCTGCACCTGTACCCTGTACCGCTTTTGCGGGCACAAACTCGATGTTGCGTGCCGCCTCTGCAGATCCAGATGCCCCTCTGATGCCACCAGAGACGGTGCCCTCTGCGCAGGCCAACCGTGCCTTGTTCATGACCAAGCTTTCAAGTCTTGGAACTCGCGCTAAGCGTGACCGAATGGCTACGACTTGTCGTTGGTGTGAGCTCTCCAGTCAACTCGGTGAAGTGAGTGAATTGTATATACGAGCAAATGACTGAAGCAGGCTGTGCCCATCTCCGACAGTCTTCAGGGCCATGCAGCCAGCTTTGAGGCATTCCTGGGTGCAGCTTCCGCGCACGTTACCACAAGTTTGGAATTTCTTGCTCTCGAATGTAGGCTTGAGACTACGACATATCGGTGAAGTGTTGTGTGGTTTTCGGCAGGCCGCGCAGCAACCGCATGCCACATCCAGACAGCTGACTGGCCGAGAAGTTTGGGTGTGGGTAGGTTTGTGACTCGTTGTTGCTCTTGCTGGGGTGAAGGGGCTATGGCGCAGGTTTATCGCTTCCTGGATCCGGAGTTCAGCAAGTTTCATGGATTGTTGTGAACCGTCCCTGTCAGCCTCATGCGCCTTAAACATCAGCGAGTTTTCACGAGTCGCGGGGAGTGTGAGTCGCAACGAATCGTAAGCAAGAGAAGCGTTTGCAGACAGGGCCTTTGACTCCGAACAGCAGAGCAGATGGGATGTGCAGTTGGAAATTGCATGGGTGCAGAGCACGAAGGTCGGATGCTGGCAGTGACGAACTGAAACAATCAGGACCAGATTCCCGAGCTTGAGCGCAGGTGTGAGCCCAGTTCACCGGAGTTGTTCTCTCTACGTGCTTACTATGGGGAAAGTCATTTATCTTGGGATGGGATGTGTTCCTCAAGGACTTGCCTTGCAGCCAAGCCTGCATCCCGATGGCTGCCAAAACCCGCACAGGACCCGAGCAGGGTGATGTCCTCTCGAAGCAGAGCATGGATGCGCGAAGCTCGTTTTGGTCCGCCGCGTCAACCCGGCTGAAGCCGCAAAGAGCATGTCAAGCCCCTTCTCACAGATCCGGATCATGAATGCTGTGACAGATCCGATGCAGCAAGTCTGCTTGGCCTTTGGCCAAATCTCCTACGAAGCAGAGCCTCGAACGTTGGCGGTTCCAGTCTTCCCCCTCCGTTGCTCGTGCATTGCTTGAGGTCCTCATGACGTTCATGCAGGAGCAGATGAAGCACTTTGAAGACAGGCTAAAGATGGAGCTGGTGCCCGGGCCTGCCTTTCAAGATCGCTCGCGACGACAGTAACGCCCCCTAAGCCCAAAGCCCCATTCCCTGCAGTTTTCAGTCCCCAACACCCGTCTAACACAAGCCTCCAAAGCCAACAACGGCCAAAGCCGGGCCTTTGCCCAACGCAGCTCGGCCGCCTGCGGGGCTCCGCTGTGCAGCGCTCGGCGCAAGCGGCTGCCAGCCTCGAGGCCGGCGTGTTATACCATGCTACGGCTGCTGCCATCAGCACCGTGCAGTGACAAGCATAGCTGTGCAATACAGGCAGAGTATCAAGGAGTAGTGCGGAGATGTTCGAAAGCCAGGAAGCAGAGTAGTAGTACTCTTCATGGCACCAAGCTGTCGTAAGCATTACATGAGGGGACCAGCGCGCTATTGGCATGACCGTCACAGTTGTTAACACTTTGCCGTGATGACCATGATTGTGGTGGAAAGCCGTCATCATAATCATCATCGTCTTCTTTCATGCGAACAAATAGAGGCCAGTCAAGGGCTTGTGCAGCAAAGCTTGTGAAGCTTAATCACACACACACACACACAGTCACAGAAGTTCCCGGGTGCGGGCCATGAAGTAAGTGCTTCTTGTGCGAGCTTGCCAGCGGGCTGCCGAAAGCAGGAGAAGCTGTTGCTGCAAATCCAACGCGTCCAAGAAGAAGGCCGTGGTCGCCAGGGTGAACCCTGTTGTTCTGGCCGATTTACGTGCAGATGCCACAAGCGGTTGCCTGTCCCCTCGAAGAGGGAAGATCTCTTGGCTCTGTTTCGGAAACTAAACACCCTTAAATCCTGAACCCTAAACTCAACTAAACTCCCTTAAGCCCTAAACCCTAAATAGGGAAGTCATGACATGGACCTTATCGGCCGAGGCGAGCGTCTTCGGGAGCCTCGAGGGACACCCCGGGAGACACCCCACCGAGAAGAGTCTTCAGAGGCCCAAAGCTGCCGACCTCCAGCGTGAGGGTTGTAGACGGGGGCAAAGAAGGAGGTGTTTAGGGTTTAGGGTTTTAAGGGTTTAGGGTTTAAGGGTTTAGGGTTTTAGGGTTTAGGGTTTAGGGTTTAACGGGTTTAAGGGTTAGGTATCCCGAGCCTACAAAGCCCTTGTTCCATGAGGCGTTAAGCCTGCAGGCTCTGTGTGCGGGGGGGAAGCCGTTGTGCAGATCATCTCCCTCCTAGGCAGTATTAGGGAGACCCTTTAAAGGGGACCCTTCTGAACCCTACTTGTGGCTCTCTTAAGAGGGACCTTATATCCCCAAGGGTCCCCCTAATCCGAACCACTACTCCCTTGCCAAACTCGGCAGGAACCCAGCAGCGACGGCCGAAGAGGCCGATAGCTGAAAGCTGGCAACTGGACCGGAGCAGCTACCACAGCAGTGCAGACACCACTTCATGACAGTGGCTTTGTGTAAGAATGTAGGTAAAGTCATATGAGAAACCGGAGGTTCGGAATTCCGATCCATTCCCCACCCGACGAGCCATAACCCGCAGCACGCCGCTAGATGACAATCACGAGTCCGAGAGGGAAACTGTCAAGGAGCTCCTGATCAATTTCAGGACTTTGACAAATCCATTGTTGTCACAGCCATGCTGAATGTCCTTCTCATTCTGCCATCGATGTCTTATCAGTCTGAACGAGTACCGCTTCTTACAGTAAGGCTGTGTGTGCTCAAGTGCAGGAAACTGGCTGCGGAGCTGCAGATGCAGATAACTCGGCTAGACAGGCAGGACTGGGTGGGTGGTGCAGGGTCGGAAGGACAAATGACGTTGGGAACGTTCGCAGGGTTTGAAGATGGTTCCTGCGAAGAAAGCACAGTAGTGCAAGTCAGTATCGTGTTTCGGAGGCTTGACATGGACATTGGTGGCCGGCTGGGTGGCCTGGAAGAGGGCATCAGGCCCACGTCGAATGACCTTTGCTGTGGTAGAGTGCCCTGCAGCATGCAAGATCTCGACAGACTGGCGGCACCTCTACACTCAAAAGTCAAAGCCTGACAGTGTCAGCGTAGCTCGAGCAGCGTCCCGACATGAAGGAGCGTGACTGAAAATCCGGAGGTGATGGACTAGGTGCAGGTAAAGGTCTTGCAGCCGTAACACACGGCGCGCTTTCGGAATTAGATACTTTCTCAGACAATCGTCGCGCTTCCCCATGCTCTCACGCATGTTCATGTTGCGCATAGTATAGCTGTACTCTATATATATATATATACACATGTAAATACAAAAGGCAAAATATATAAATGAATATAAGTATTATATAAATGTGGTTATATAGATATACATATATACATATATATATATGTATATATACATAGATGTGCGTATATATATATATGCGCACACATTTATGTTTGTATATATGTACACACATAGGATGCTGGTCGGCTAGCAGGCGGTTGGATGCCGAGAACGCGAAGCTCACAGAGCATTTCACTGAGTCGGCACGAAGGCAGGTCGGAAACCCGGTGCATGCTGAACAATAGTCGTAGCAGTAATGTTGATAGCAGCAACAGGAACTTTATTCGATAGCCCTAAGGATCATCAACAACAACTGTAGCTACGGGCCTCAGACAAGCAAGCTTCGGCTTGCGATGCCCTGGACTGGCATGTTACATCGTGCGCTACTTACTTAGACATGACCCTTTTGATTCGACTCTTGGCGCACTATTCCTGCCGCTACTGCCGTGCTTGCCGTTCCGACTCTGGATTGTGTTGCCAAAATCATCATTGGAGCTGTCAAACAAAGTCTCCAAGCTTGAGCTTGGACGCTAGAGTGGTTTTGACATGGGCCAGATGAAGTCCGAAGATCTACGTCCGAAGGAACCTGCAGCCTAAATCTCCAAGCCCATTCCCCTCCCCAAGAAGGGAATCCTTAAGCCCTAATCCCGGGGTCCTTTTCACAAGAATGGCACTCTCAATTGTGAAAGGCTGGCGGCGCCTGTAGGTCTGGCCGAAGACCTTCACCAAGCAGTGAGGTGAGGGCTTAGGGCTTCGGCTTTCGGGTTTAGGGTTTAGGGTTCAGGGGTGGGCATAGGACATGGAAGAGGTCATGGTCTTGTTGAAGTTAAAGCTTTGGTGACTGAGTTGTGGAGATCAGAGAAGTGGATTTCCTCGACAGGGAAAGAACTCACCATCCGTCAGTTACGATAGCACTTGAAATCACTATGGCTAATGCCCTTCCTTCTCTATGCCAAAGCTGCAGGAGTAAGCTGCATGTGTCTCTTCATGTACGGCCTTGCCTTCTGTGCACCAATTTCGTTCCCCAGATACACCGTTAGTCTCAGAAAGGCCGAATCTACACTAGAAAATAATGGGATGCATGTTGTAAAGAGACCCCGAAATCAAAAGAGCCCGCAATATCAGCCCGCCCCCCTCCCTCCAAAATAAATCGGACCTTTATTGCAAGGACCCAAAAGAAGGGCAACGGACCCTAAACCCTTCAATCTAATTTTGCCCAAAAGTGACCCCGAATTTCTGACACGTCGCGGACAGGTCGCTCGAGGAGGCGCTGGAGTCCTGGCAAAGCCACACGCAGCACCTCGAGGACTATAGGGTTTAGGGCGATCCTTGTAGCACCCCTTATGGTACCCATTGTAGTAATCCTTCTGTGGTACCCCTCACATTATCCCGCCAGAGTATCTCCCCTCATGGTACCCCTGAGTTCAGTATGCATCTGTGTTCCGCTGGGGTTAGGGGCTGCCTTTTCAATTCATAGGTGAGCCCTATGCGGCAGCGTCGTCTACTGGCTTGTCAAGATATTATTTCAGCAACAAAAACGGCAAATTACATTGCGTAACGGCGGTTCTGTTGTCCTGAAGTACATACATAGGTCATGTAGCGTGTGAGACACAAACACACACGTGCACACATGCACAGACAGAGGCCAACTCATTGCCAAACTCCGGATCTGGCCCCAGCATTGCAAGGATGACTTGCGCAGCCGAAGCTTGGCCACAAGTCTGGCAACAAGGCAATGTTTGCGAGTAGCATCACCAGATAGACTCTACAGTGTTTTTGGAATGATGCCAGATGAACTGATCATGTAGGGCTTTCCACTGCTACACTGGATCAACGCCTACCACGAAACGCCGTGCTTTTGCGGTAGGAGGTAGCAGTGTCCGTGTGGTCTGCAATTGACTTGAAGATACACTCAAGGCAAACTGGCCACCGCTGCGCTGCTTCTTGAGACCCATTATCAAGAGCTTCCCCATGCTGTCTGCCGAAAAGATAGCGTGGCAGTTTCAACCCTAGCTTTGAGCTAGTAGTAGGGGCTGAAACAGCATAATATTATGAGAGTAGCACAATCTTTGTAATGAGCCATCTTCGTAAACGATTCCACATTTTGTGCGCACTTCAGTGCTTGGTGGAACGAGCGAGAATCTCTGGCCCAGGAATGGAAGAGCTCTCGCATTCAGTGGCGTGCCAGACTTGGTGATTTCCAGTATGGACGAAGCTTAGACTGGCGATGCACGCGCTCTGTGCCTTCCACACACTTGTTATCCTTCGGAAGCAGAGTTGTCGGTCGTCTTCGCCTCTTCCCAAAGGCGCTTGGAGCCCAGCAAGGGCCAAAGTCACGTCCAGGCCGTGCCCTCAAGCCTGGTGCAGAAACTCGAGTATGCTAAAGCCTGCCATTCTCTCATGCTCAGCCGTGGTGAAGCTCTGCATCAGCTCGTTCTGAAGCATTGCTGCGACTACTCGACGCATTAAGGCATCGCCCAAGGGCCAAAGCAGCCCTTCAAGAGCAAGTCCGGCCCAGCGCACCATCCCCAGCGAGAGCCCCGGCAGAAGCCTTGAGCTGCCTTGGCTTTGAGTGAAGGGGCAGACTTGCAGACTGCCAGGCCTCCCGACCTCGACGGCCTTCTTGTCGCTTGCTGAGCTTCCTACTTGGAAGGGAGTTGACCCGTCTCGTTGCTGCCACATTCGCTCGGAGTGCGACAGTTCCGGATCATGGAACACATCCGTTGCCCGCTGATGCTTGGACCTAACCGGGTCATGACTGTGCCGGCCCTACCCACGGGATGGTGCCACCTTGAAAAAGGCACACCTCCCGCACACCGTTGGCCGGGTGATGGGGCGCATGCGGCGGAGGCTTGGAGGCGCTTGTCACGGTTGTGTTGAGCACTCGCCGCCTTGCCTTTGGCACCTTTAGCCAACGCGCCCTTTGAGGGCTGAGACGCAGCCCGGGTGTACGACAGCAAGGCAATGAGCTAACGTGCTTGCTGGGGTGTCCAGACCAGACCTCTGCGCCGCATGCACGAAGGGGAGGCCATGCATTGTCCTGAACCGTGGCGGTTGTCGGAGGCTTGTGGGGTTCACGACCGTCACAAAGCTATGGCCCCGAGACCAGCAGGTTGTCCATGCCTGCTTTCAGCAGTCGCGACCTACTGGGATCTGGGGTCCGGCACGTTGCACCTGCGAATTCAGGGGCTAGTAACTGGTACTGCGGCAAGCAGCATGCAAAGGGCTCCACCGGACATGGCTAATTAATTGCGAGAGCAGCAGCTTTCTTCACGTGATTGGCCTCATGGGCTGAGGAATCTGGTCTCCATCCTCCCAGCTTACTCGCCCTCAAGCCAAGACAGGGATGCTTTGGTCGGCATGGGCCCGGGCCTGAGCCACTCACTGCATGCCAGCATTGTGCCTTCGGTGCAGAGGTGAGGGTGGGAACAGTCCGACTCTAAAAGCATCCCTAGGCTTCCAGCACCGGTCTGTGGGCGTGTGCGAAGATGATTGCAAGGGCATGCCGGGCACGACTCCCTCGTATGTATTTAGACCTGCTTGCATCGCACCCAAACCGGAGCATGACAGGTGCACACATGCACCTTCATGTCTTCTGTGTGAGCCCGTGATTTCCAGTGAATCGGAAGCCCTTCTTCTCTCCTTCTTCGGGCTCCTGCCTTCTGAGGCCGTGCCGACTCCCCGGGAAGCGACGATGTCGTGCCAAGCTTGGCAGTGCCTCTGCTCGCCGGGGCCGAGGTCGGGTGGGGTGAGGGTGGGAAGCATAGCTGTCATCGACGAGAGGGGGGAAGCCAAGGGAGGGAGATGGTGGGAGCGAGAAGCCGGGAGAAGGGGGGCGGGCGGTGAACCAAAGCGAGGGGAACGCAAGACGACGCGACATCTGGTGGCAGAACCATTTCCACATAAGCACACAACAGCATGCTATTTGACAAAACAGCTGAAAAATGGAGCCAAGCAGCCTAAGCTGTGTTGGTGCCCGGCTCGGCGGTGAGAGCGACATGAAGCACAAAGAGCTAGAGGTACTTAGAGGGTTAAAAAAATCGTTGCGGCACACTTGGTCCTCGCAGTCTTGTTCATCATCCATCATTCATCCGTCACCCATTCTCCTCATCATCATCACCATCATCACCGCCATCGTCATCATCATCGTCGTCATCATCATCATCATCATCCCCGTCCGGGTCCTCATCCTCATCCACATCCTCATGATCCTGGTCCCCATTCTCCTCAGTCTCCTCCCCATCTTCTTCTTCATCATCGTCATATATCGTCATCATCACCACAACCATCAGCATCACAGCATCCTCGTCCTCATGCTCATCTGCACCATCTCGCTGTGAAGACATTCCGTGTCGTATCCCTAGTCATGACATGGCGATGACGGCGATAGTGGCGATTGTCCTCCCTGCGCTTGTCTTCGGAGTCTCGCATGCTGAGAGGAGCCGCTCCCGGCCGAAGACGCATTCCGGGCACTGGAGGGCTTTCCAGGTCGCCCGCCTATATTAGGTCCTTCTGAGGTCTTGGTGGGACTGCAGATGTGGGACACGGGCTGATATATGGAACGGGGGCAGTGATGCAGAGTGGTATGAAGCGTAGCTGGTGTTGTTGCTTGGTGCGAGAATTTCAAGCATTTCGCTCGCAGTGCTTGTAGGTCTGGTCT